GGCCCTTTGGAAACTCAAAATGCCAGCTGGGCTGGCTGTGACTTGATGCTTGTTAACACTGTGTTCTGAGGAAAGCCCCCTCCTACGCAGCAAGTTTTAAAGGCTTTGTGGCGGGGTATGGGGGGTGGAGGGATCTCAGTGGTCAAAGGAGACAAATAAAAATAATCCTGAGGTTATCGGAGCGTTGACATCGTGTACAATAGTAGTTAGGAATATTTTCCAAATTTAAAAATCTCATGGAGGAAGTGGGTTACAATAGCAGTGACCTCCGACCCCCAGCCAGTCATAATGGTTTCCTGGATGCAGGGATATTATGGGCTGGAGCCAAGGATTTCAGCAGAAAAGAGCACAAGATGTGTTAAACTTAGAGCACAATGTGTGACATCCGGGAGGGGCTACCAAGGGTCATCTCTCCTTCTGAGGAAAAGCAACCCTTTCCCAAACAAGGATCTGGAGCATTCTCATTGTAGAGACAGTGCCTTTTTTTTTTCCTGTTACTAATTTGAGTTGGATTTTTTTTTTCATTCCTTGAGACCTCAGTGAATCAGAAAGTCTTCACTAGGGACCATTTCAAGGGCTTATTCATCACCCAAATTGTGATGAGGTGACTCCTAAATGCTGGGTGTAGCAATCAAAAGAACTGTGTCCAAAGAACTTCTACAGCTCACATGTTCAACCTCAGTGTCGCTGACATGTGGGCCAGAGAATCCATGGCAGGGGACTGGACTGTACACTGCAGGATGTTTCACCAGCATCACTGATGACAGACACTCTTGGAGCCTTCTCGCTGTGGTCACAACTAGCCACATCCTCAGATACCTTTCTTGCATCCAAAGGTATTAAACCATATATCTACATGTTTTTCTATAGAGAGAACAGTTCTCTGAAGAGACAGGCAGACTATACACATAATTAATAAGCAAAAGGATGAGTTAGGCTGTCTGTTGGCAGTGAGAGACCCTGTCTCAAAGAATAAAGTGGAGAGTGATTGAGGAAGAACCTGATGTTGACCTTTGGCCTCCATGATATGAACACACCACCACCCCTGTACCACTCCATAATCCATGAAGAAGACTTGAGTCTTGGCAATGGGATCAGCATGAAAGGCTGTCCTTTAAGTGATATGACTGGTGAAGTCCTTACTGAGAAAGGTGACCCTCAAGTGGAACATTTGGGAAGGAGGCAATAGCCAGTCAGGGGCTCTGAGCATGTATATAAGAGGTCACATCACCAAGGAGAATCAGTGTGGTTGGGGTGAAGAGAGGGGACTGGAGGAGATGCTGGGAGAGGGCAGGGTGTTGCAGCACACAGGTGGCACGGGGGCCCTCAGGGCCAAGCACAAGGCTTTGCTTTCCTCTGATTGGAAAGGAAGTCATTGTTTGATGGACAGAGGCATGAGTAAGCCTGATGTTTTTACAGGATGACTCTGGCTGATGCCACCTTGAGAACAGGCTTCCGCAGAGGAAGGATAAAAATCAGGGATGTACTGAGTCAGCCTTAGAGTCTGGGTAGCCAAAGACTTGACCAGTTATTTATACACGTGGGTGGACTCATCCTTCCCTTCGTGAAGACACACTCAGTGGGCAGTCTGTAGCTGCCGCATAGACACAGAGAAAAATATAAATTGAACTTGCTTCATTTTTCCCATGACCTTTCCTTGCTAGAGACTCCACTCAGATAATGTCTTGATTTTTCAAATTGGAAATATTAGCATTATAATTCTTACTAAACCCTGATAGAAATGATAAGGAAATAGTCAGCAAGCATTCATTCCGTATAAAGTGTTATGTCCCCTCATTCACGACCTCCCTGTCCCCTGTGAAGGGGGTACTGATCACAATACTTCTCCCACCATCTAGAGGAGGAGATGGAGGCTCAGAATGTTTTGGCGAATTCCCCAACGTAGCTTCACTTCAAGCTTCAGCAGGTGGTGTGGGTGAGAGACAAGCATCAGGTTGACATAGAAGGCAGAATCTTCATGGCGGTTAACCATGCATTCTAAAATATCCCCTCCCTTTCCCAGAACTCATTGAGAGATCTTGGTGGGTGACAGTGAGGAATGTTGGGCTCCAAGCTGGGGAAGTGTTGGGCAGAAGTTGGAGCCACTCCTCAGTCCTAGATGATGTGTTTGCCTTCTAAGTATGAAGACCTGATTTGATCTCCAGAGCCCACATGAAAGCTGACTGAGTGTGGTGATGGATTTATACTCCCAGCACTGGGGAATCAAGGCAGGAGGATTCCTCAGGCTTACTGACTCTCCAGCCTAGCCTACTCGGCAAGTTCCAAGCCAATGAGAGACTCTGTGTCAACAAAAAGATGGATGATGCCTGAGAAGAAAGTTTGACCTCTGACAGCCACGTGAATATACATGTATGTGCATGTACAGCTGCACACCTAGATGAGCACACACACACACACACACACACACATGCATAATATGTGCATCCATGCATGTGTATGCCTCTTGGTGTCACCTGACAAAAAGCCCACCCAGAGCCTATCCAGGATTTTCTGGGGGAGAAAGACATGCCAAGTGATTAGGAATCACCACCTTAAAATTCTGAGAGTTGTAAAAAAAAAGTGCAGGATGGACTTAGCATATGGTTACATATGCACACGCATATATGTGTGCATACAGATGTATGTAGATGTGTATGTATTGGAACACGAAATCCTGGAAACAGCAGTGATGATGACAGTGGCAGTGAGTTAAAGGAGGAAGAGGAAGAGGAGGAGAAAGAGGAAGAGGAGGAGGAAGAGGAGGAGGAAGAGAAGGAAGAGGAAGGGGAAGAGGATGAGGAAGAGAAGGAAGAGGAGGAGGAAGAGATGGAAGAAGAAGAGGAGAAGGAAGAGGAGGAAGAGGAAGAAGAGAGGGAAGAAGAGGAAGGTGGGGCAGAAGAGACACAGGGCAGGGAACAAGATGGTGGCACACCTTAACAAGGCCAGAGCGGGTGGCCAGTGACTGGCACAGAGCCCTGGTTCGTTTGGGTCTGCAGTGATGGAGTCCTTTCTCTCTTTTGCCTCCATCATCCTCTTTCCTGTTTCCTGCACCCCCATCTCCTCCCAAGCAGCTGACAGTCTCTGCCACAGCCAGAGCGCTTTGGAAGCCCAGTTCTACCCCAAATCAGGCCTTTGTCTAAGCTGCCTTCTTCCACACAAAATGCCAGCCCCCCTTCATCCACGAAGGGTTCCCTTGCTCCACAATGGCTTGTCTTCCCTTGTACATCACACGGGACCCATCAGCAGACACGGGCATGTGGGGCCTTGGAAACAGGTCAGAGCACGTCATCTTGAGACAGGGGTTCGGCTTCCTGCACGGAGTGGCTCATTTCCTGTCCAAGTCCTCTACTCAGAACACCCTGATCTCAGCTCTACTGACCTGTTAGCTTCCAGGTCAACTTTCTGTGTATTTTAACCTCAGAAAACTCACTGAACTCAATCCAAATGAGGAAACTACAGATCACTTAGAGAAACGAATTCGAAACCCTTCACATTTGGCTCCAGGGAAGCTCAGAGCTAGGAGGGACCTTTGTGTTCATCTCTTCCAACCTGCCCTCATCCTATAGGACAGACACCAAGGCACAGATGTGACCCTTTAGCAGCAGATACTACCAGCTAGAGAGTGACAAAGCCAAGAATCAAACCTCCTTCTCTGGTTCCTCAAATGCTTCACTTCCTCATTACTATTGTCCTTGTGATCCAAGTCATGGAAAAAAAAATCACCACGAGAGTTCTCTGGTCAAGGACAGATCTTTTGTAAGTAGTTGCTTCCACATTTAGCTCTTTTATAAGCTATGCTTTTCATTTATAGTTTTTCTTTTCTTTTTTTTAAAAAGTCAGAGCAACACTGTGCTCTCACATAATGGAATCCTAAAGAATTTCTATTTAACCTCAATGTCACGAATGCGTGCAAAGCTACGTGTTGAAAATGAGTGGTCGATTTTTCATTCTGAATGAAATGTAATTTATCTAATTGATTTGGTTGAATCTGTGCCTTCTGGAGCCTTTTTCCCCTGTTTCTGAGTGAAATGGCCAACTTGCTGAGCCCTGACAAGAGGAAGCAGGGCGAGAGAGAGAGAGAGAGAGAGAGAGAGAGAGAGAGAGAGAGAGAGAGAGAAGCAGCAAGACCACCAGTCACACAAAACTTGTCTCCATCAGGCCAGGGGCGAGGGCTCATGGGAAATTCAGGGAAACTATATTTTTGGCACCCAGCTGAGCCTCAAGTTATTTATTTGTGCTCATTTATATCTTTCCCAATGGCTAAGGAGCCAAAGGCTCAGTGTGTCTTAGAAAAGATGAATCCCCAGTGTTTCTCGGCCATCTATCATCTGCAGAGAATGGCGTGTGCATGATGCCGCTCAGCTTACTCATCTAAGTGGCCAGGTTGGGAAAGCTGTTGTAATTTCCATCTGTAGCAGGTTTAATGGTACTGCTCACCCCCACGAGCCTACCTGGACTCTAGAATGCATTTGGGCTTATGTGGAAAGTGTCTTTACAAATGTGCGTGATCTTGTGGGGGTAGTGTGTGTGTGTGTGTGTGTGTGTGTGTGTGTGTGTGTGTGTGTGTAGGCCAGAGATTGACATTAGGCATCTTCCTCAATCACTGTCTCTGTTTTGAGACAGGCTTTCTCACTACACCCGTGCTGGCTAGCCAGTGAAACCCAAGGAGCCATTTTTCTCTGTTTCCCCAGTGCTGGAGTTACAGATCACTGTGACCATGCCTGAGTTTTTATATGGATCTCGAACTCGGGCTACTTTTTATTTTAAAAGACCTACTTATTCTAATTGTGTTTTCCTCCATGTATTATGTGCACCACATGTGTGCCTGGTGCCCATAGAAGCCAGAAAGAGATTTTTTGGTCCTGTAGAACTGGTTGTGAGACATTGTGTGGTTGCTAGGAATCAAACCCAGGTCCTCTGGAAGAGCAGCCAGTGCTCTCAACGGCTTAGCCACCTCTCTATCCCCCAAACTCAGGTTCCTTTGCCTGGGAGGCACTTACCGACTGAGCTGCCCCCTTAGCGCCAAGTGAAGGATCTTGATGTGAGGTTTTTCTCGATTTAGTCCTTCCTCACTGGGATGAACTGAACTCTCTGGACCTGGAATCATAATCAACCATCCTGCCCTTGAACTGTCTCTTGATATTTGGGCCACAGTAATATAAAAGCCGCTAACACCAACCCCCTAGTCTCTCCATTCCAAAGGAATGGATTTTTTTTCTATTGGCAATTTTATTATTTATTTGATGTTTGACCCAGAGTCTCACTATGTAGCCCAGGCTGCCTCAAACTCTTGGTCCCCTTGAGAGCTGGATTAACCTATTTATATCTTAAGTAACTCAAACCTGGGTCTCTGTGACTTGGAATTCACTTTCATCAGCCTCATGGTTTAACCAGGAATACGGATGGGATTTCTGACCGGCCTTCTCATTTTGTTACGTCAGCTCAGTCACACTGGGACAGCTGAGGATTCTAGAACCCCAAGTACAGAGGACTGATGGGGCTTGGAGGGCCTCTTACCTGCCACCATCACTCGCTGAGACCTCAACGTGTGCCTGACACTTTCTGTGCTGTGTGGGGACTGTTTGATTAAAGGTTGTGGAGAAGACTCAGAGGTCAGCTTTCTAATACCCAGACTGGGGGCATGGGACGGTGCTGAGCCTCAGTACGTCAGTCAGAACCTGGGACGGAACAAGGAATGGATCCTCAGCCCCTCCATCCCTGGACACTCAGCCATGTGCAGGTGAACAAGGGTTCACACATATGAAGGGCTCCTCTCGCACAACCAGGAGATGTGTGCTGAGTAACACGTGCTCTGCTCTGGCACTAGCTGTGGCAGGGAAGACATCACTCAATGCAGGAGAGAGTGGTGATATGGACAGCATAGCTCAGGGCAGACATCTTTCTACACCCCAGATTGCTTTCCACCATGGAGTGACCCTGGAAAAGCACTGTCTTCTCTCTAAGCCTCAGTTTCCCCATTGACATCTGAGAATATTCTAGAATCGCTTGGGGGAATCTTTTAAAAATATAAGTTCCAGTCAGAGAGAGAGAGAAAAAAAAAATTCTTCCTTAGCTCCACTTCTGTGGAATGTCTGAAACAGACCCATAGAATCAGAAAACAGAATGGTGGCTGGCAGAGTATGGGTACGTGTGTGTGCGCGCGCGCGCGCGCGCGCGCGCGCGCGCGCGCGTGTTGGGGGCCAGAAATAGGGAGTTGTTGGCCAGCTTCACAGAAAATCAGAATGAGGCCAGTGAATAGCCAAGCTCTCTGAGGTGGTGATACTGGGTGTGGGGGGTATTCCAAGCAGAGGGAACAGCCATGTGCAAAGGCTCTAGGATCTGCAATTACATTCTCTATTGGTCTTTACAGTATTTTATTAGGACAATATATATTATACATAGACAGATGGATGGATGGACAGACAAGGGCTAAGTGATTTTGGCAAATCTATTTGCTTCTAAAATAGCATCCCCATGTCCCCAGAAAGTTCTATACTGCCCAAATTCTGCTTCATTATTTTGTTATGTTTTGACTCTTATGGTCATAGATGAATTTCTTTCCCTTTAAAGTTCATGGAGATGCAGTCACAGGATATTCACTTAGCCATGCCTAGTTTCCTGTTTTTAATATCACATCTGTGTGATTCATCCATGTCATTTTGTGTTATTTGTTATCTATTTATTTTTATACTGCTCAATAGTATTCCATTGTATGGACATACCACAGTGTGTTTTCCCGTCTCGTCGGATGTCTAGTTACAATGTTGCAGTTTGGGGCCCTTCTGATATCTACTTACAATGTTGCAGTTTGGGGCTCCTCTGATGTCTAGTTACAATGTTGCAGTTTGGGGCTCTTATGGAGCTGTTGTGAATGTTCATACCTCCCTTCACTTCTCTTGCATATAAAGTTTGCCTTCATGATGCAGATTCATCTTTAATCTGATTAGAAATTGCTGAACAGCTTTCCACTTGATTCTCATGGGAAGCAAGGCTGGGAGCCACAGGACGGGGGCCTTTCTGATGGAAACTTGCAAATTCTGGCATCCTATTGCTATTTCCTTGGCTCTCAGCTTCTTTGACGTTGGGGCTTGTGACGCATGGGCTTGTCTCTTGAGTACCTTACCAAGCACCCCAGAACAGCTGCACCCCACCATAAGCCACATGTTCAACTACCTGGATAAGCTCTCCCTGCAGGCCTCACCTCTCTCCTCCTAGGAGAGAGTATATATTAAATCGTGGTGCCGGGACTAATTCTTTACAGCTTGCAGGTTGCTCGCTCTCCACGAGCAGACAGGAGGGCGCCCTGACGCTGTTAAAGATCACACACTTTGATAACTCACCCTCCTGATTTATGGTAGTCCGGGTCTCCACGTTCACCTAATGAGGGGAACTCCGGGTGTCAACCTGTTTATTAAATGCCTAGAACCATGTGTGAACCGGACCGGAGTAAGACGTCAATCATACTTTCATTTATTCTTTGTATCCCCCCCTCCTGTTCCTTCAGTCCTCTCTCCTCAGGACTGTCATCTCTCAAGGCCTTTCTTTTCATCTCCAACGCTGAGGGTGGGGCGGGGCTTGAGGATGGATCGCTGGTGGAGAGGGTCGGTCAGTCTTGGGGGGGTGGTGCCCAATGTTTGCACTTTCCTACTGGTTTCATGTGTGTTTAGAAGTTAATGGTACTCTGCACCTCATGACTCTTTCTCAGATGTCAAACAAAAACATGAAAGGGAGAGTGGCCTGAGGGGAGGGTACTTGGGCGCAGGGTAGGACAGCACCCCATCCGCAGCCTGAGACAGGCTGGTGAGTCTTAATGAAGATGGAAGATGGATTAATATTCTTGGGGTTGTCGGGGTCTAATGAGGCCTTAATTCATTTCCTTTAATTCCCTTTGAAATTAATTTCTTTTTCTTAAAAAGAAAAAAAAAAGGCACAAATCAAAATAACGGATGGCCGGGACTCTTTAATCTCTGCTTCTCACCCTTCCCCTTTGAACTTGGTCACTGTCATGTTCCTAATCTCTGGAGATTCCGCCCCGATCCCTTTCAAGAGCCATCAGTCCCATCTCTTTGGTTTGCTCTCCTGGATGTGGCATAAATATTTCTGTCCCTTTGAGGCCTCCAGCTGGATTCTGACCTTGGACGTGGCGGGGGGCGGGGGGGGGGCAGAGCAGGCCACTCTGACGTTATCCAGGCAAGAACAGCTCTAGGAAGCCGGGTCTGGAGATGCTCGCTTGAGAGTTCTGGGATGCTCACCAGGGCTGGGGAAAAGGTGGGCTAGCAGAGGTCTGTATTGTTAATGCTATGTAGGGGCTCTTGTTCTGAAGATCCTCAGACTTTGTGCGGGTACCCCTTGAAAGTAACCTCAGCCCTGAGCTCAGACTGAATTCATGCCCAGTCTGCTTTGGGACAGATGCTGTGTCAATGTTTGTTGGACTACAAGAGCTATGGATGTAGAGGTGAACCTGGTTGCACACAGCACCGTCATTAACTTAAACTTGGTTTCTATCCGTTTCCACAGCAGGAAAAGAGACAATGTGCCCGTGGCTATGTGGACTAGCTGAACATCTAAGTAGAGATGGGCCCTCCTTTGGTTATGTCCGTTCTCTTCCCTAGCAACCGACCATCCGTATTTAGTTGGGCACTGGGTGTCAGCAATTAGGACAGTTTCTCACCTTCCTTCTGGTAGAGTGTGGGGCGTAGTTAAGGTCTTGGAGAGCCAGTTGGAAGGGGCCCTTTGCCTCTCTTTTACGTTTTCCTGCCATATGGTTGGAAAGCAGCCACGAAGGCCGGGGACGAAGCAGCCATGTTGGCGTATGAGGCAGGAAGTTAAAAGCAAAGAAACAATGTGGACAGCTGCTTCGATCTGGGTCAAGTGTTAGGCTGGGGCAGGACCCCTTTGCTTCCTGCCTCTGAGCTGCTTTTACACGAGAGAGAAGCGGACTTTCAGTCTCTTCAAGTCAGTGGTTTGGGTTTGTGATGGCAGACAACCAAATATAAGTGTCAAGGGTCCGACGTGGCTTCATAGACCTGACATGCCACTGATGGATAAATCCAGTGACTGGGGCTTGAAATGCCCCAGGAATAGCCAGGGTGGATGGAGGAGAGAGGCGGGGAGTGCTGACTGAGAAAGACACATGGCTGTTAATTAAAATGAAGTGCTGGGTGTAGCCGCCCCTGCCTGTAATCCCAGCACTAAGACGTTATCCCAGTTCAGGGAAGCAAAGGCATGTATCCCTCCATACAAAATCTCCAGTCTTTCCGTCTGTGAACAGCAGGACCGGTGGAGAAACATGTTTGCAGCAGAGGAGAGGCCGTGGGCATCTCTTCAGGATCTTGGTTCAAGAGACAGAATCAAGACTGGAGCTTAGATGGATAGAAATGTGGGAACATATCCTCCAGCGGATGTCGCCCACTCAGGCCTGTGACACCCTTAAGCAGGAGGCAGCTGACTGCTAGACAGGAAGGCTGTCAGCCTCTGATTGGGAGAGCCTGGGGACAGTGTTATTCCTGGTCTCTGGGCAGTGCTTCTACAAGTCTCCTCAGTGGTGACCCCAGGAGGAGGGTAAGTCACTCCCATGGTCCCCAGGCTTGCCTCTATTTTAAGATGAAAATAAACCCATCCCCTGAATCTCAAGCATTTTTTTTGCAGATGGTAAGCTGGACAGAAGTCTGTGCATCCCCAGTTGGAAGTCTTCCCCGATCATTGTACAGTCAAGAATTTATCCAGAAATGTAACATCTACAACTAGGGTCTTTTGTCTCATCTTAGCAATTTGCGGTGGCTGTGTGGGAGAAGAGAAGCGGGTGCTCTTGTGGAATCCATGTCTAGCCCCCATCTTCGGAATCAGGAGCATGTAGCTCTCTGTGTGCATCTTTTGTCCAGACCATGTGGTCACCAGCAGTTTGCTGGGAGCCTTAGATCCTTTCTCTGCTGTTCCAGGCTCTATTTCATGGCCACCCCTGTTTCTTGGGCTCCAGGAAAGGGCAGGTCAATAGGAAAGAGGCTGGAGTATGGAGGCATGGGATGCACATCTTGTATTTCTAGGAGCGTCTCCAGCAGCTGCACCCTCTGATTCCCATCTCCATCTACCTTCAGACTTCACAGTGCACAGCTCAGCTCCTCAGGAAGCCCCTGCCTGGGCTCTAGCACCCACAGATGCTCCAGCTCTGGGGACTCCTCCTTTTTGTCTTACCAGCCCAAGGGTGAAATCACAGCAGCTGACCTCCAGGCTATGTCAGCCATTCCCATGGGCTTCTCAGCCCTTCTCTCAGGCAGGCAAAGAGTCCATATTTAACTCCTCTGTATTAAAAGCTTTTCGTGGTTTCATTTTTTTTCTCACTGGATTCTGCAGAGTACAGACATCATCCCACAGTTACAACAGGCTCTCTGTTCTGTGTGATGATGCCATTTTGGTTTTGAGGTGTACCACCTCAGGGAGCTCATCAAAGCAGGTGCTATTACACTTTATACAAGTATTAAAGAACAAAACAAAAAAAAAACAAAACAAAAAACTTGAGGGTAGGCAATACTGTCCCCGATCTGCAACACCTCTGTTTGAACCACAGTTTTACTGACTATCTACAAGAGCTCTGAGCAGTCGACCTCACCATTCCAAGTCTCAGTTTTTCCATCTGTAAGCTAGGAATTAAAAAAAGGAGCTGTGTGGAGATCAGCAAGGACAAGGCTGCATCCCTCAGCATGTTGTCTGGCATGAACTGGCAGGTCACATGTTCACAGTCCAGGACTCCAACCCA